AAAGAAGCTAAACAATTCTATTTCACAAAGAACATTTCTTTTTGTGTGTGTGTAGAGATAGAGTCTCACTTTATTGCCCTCGGTAGAGTGCCGTGGTGTCACACCGATCACAGTAACCTCCAACTCCTGGGCTTAGGAGATTTTCCTGCCTCAGCCTCTTGAGTAGCTAGGACTACAGGCGTCCACCACAACACCCAGCTATTTTTTTGTTGCAGTTTGGCAGGAGCTAGGTTTGAACCTGCCACTCTTGCTATATGGGGCCGGTGCCCTACCCACTAAGCCACAGGCACTGCCCCACAAAAAACATTTCTATTAGCCAAAAATTAGAAAAAAATATTTAATATTCATTTTTTAAATATTCATCTAAATGTTTTCAGTCAGCATGCGAAGAATTCTGCAACATCAATGCAAGCTACAGGCATCTTATCTCACAACAAGAAAACATTTTTTAAAAGTGGAACAAAATTGTTAGATTTCATCTTAATAATTCTTAGTCATGACATAGTGAACATTTAATAAAAAATCCTAATCAATAAAAAAGAGCATAATTTTTGTTATTAAATGTATAACATCAATCTTGACCATTACTATGAACCCTTTTATTTCATTTTCACAAGTTTCAGATTTGAAAGTTTTATGTTTGTTTTAAATAATTTGATTAATCCATTCAAGCTAGATATTTTATAGTTCTTTTTTTAAGTCAAAAAGGTTCCTTGTGCCCTCTATGACAACCCACAGCTAACATCATACTGAATGGAGTAAAACTGAAAGCTTTTCCACTTAGAACCAGACAAGGATGTCCTCTGTCGCCACTATTATTCAACACTGGGCTGGAAGTTCCACCCAGTGCAATCAGGCAAGAGAAGAATATAAAGGGCAACGACATGGAGGCAGAGAAGGTCAAACTCTCCTTCTTTGCTGATGATATGATTTTATACTTAGAAAACCCCAGAGACTCAAGTATAAAACTCCTGGAAGTCATCAGGAAGTACAGTAATGTTTCAGGGTATAAAATCAATGTCCACAAATCAGTAGCTGTTGTGTATACCAATAACAGCCACACTGAGAAGCAAATCAAGGACACAATTCCCTTCACAGAAGCTTCAAAGAAAATGAAATGCTTAGGAATATTCCTAACAAAAGAGGTAAAAGATCTTTTCAAAGAGAATTACAAAACCCTAAGTAAAGAAATTGCAGAAGACACTAACAAATGGAAGAATATACCATGCTCTTGGCTAGGAAGAATCAACATTTGAAAATGTCTACACTACCCAAAGCAATCTGTAGATTCAATGCAATTTCCTATTAAAGTACTAACATCATATTTTGAAGAACTGGAAAGAATAGTACTTCATTTGTATGGAAACAGAAAAAAAAAAAAAGCCCTGTATAGCAAAGGCTATTCTTAGCAATAAAAACAAAGCCAGAGTGGTATCACCCCACCAGATTTCAGGCTTTATTACAAGACTACAGTAATCAAAACAGCAAGGTATGGGTGGTGCCTGTGGCTCAATGGAGTAGGGTGCCAGCCCCATATACCAGAGGTTGTAGGTTCAAACTCAGCCCTGGCCAAAAACTGCAAAAAAAAAAAAAAAACAGGAAGGTATTAGCACAAAAACGGAGACATAGACATATGGAACTGAATAGAAAACCATGAGTTAAAACCAGTCTCTACATGCCATCTGATCTCTGATAATCCAAACAAAAGCATATAATGGGGAAAAGAACCCCTATTCAATAGGTGGTACTGGGAAAACTGGATAACCACATGTAAAAAGACTGAAACTCAACCCACACCTTTCACCACTTACAAAAACTGACTCAAGATGATAAAAGACTTAAATCTAAAACACAAAACGATTAAAAAATCTTGGAAAAAAGTGTGGGGAAAACTCTTGACAATGTTGGACTGGGGAAAGATTTTATGACAAAATAAATGTGGAGAGAAGGGAACACTTTTACACTGCTGGTGGGATTGCAAACTAATACAACTTTTTGGAAGGAAGTATGCAGAATCCTCAAAGAACTCAAATTACACCTACCATTTGATCCTATAATCCCATTACTAGGCATCTACTCGGAAGAAAAAAAAATTATTTTATCATAAGGGCATTTGCACTAGACTGTTTATTGCAGGTCAATTTACAATTGCCAAGATCAGGAAACAACCTAAATGCCCACGAACCCAGGAATAGATTAACAAGCTGTGGTATATGTATACCAAGGAATACTTATGCAGCCATTAAAAAAGACAGAGACTTTACATCTTTTGTATTAATGTTGATTGAGTTGGAACACATTCTTCTTAGTAAGCATCATGAGAATGGAGAAGCAAGAATCCAATGTACTTGATTCCAATATGAAGACAATAGATAATCTAATAATACAAGGTGGGGGAAGGTGGGGGGTAGAAGGAGGGAGCAGGGAGAGGTAAGAGGATGGAGGGAGATGGGGGTGAGAGTGTATGGCACATCTATTGGGATGGGACACAATTATAAGAGGAACTTTACCTAACAAATGCAAGCAGTGTAACCTAATTCTTTGTACCTTAATGAATCCCAAATAATGTAAAAGAAAAAAATTTTTCCTTTTTAAAACCAAATGAAGGAAAAGAAAGCTTTAAAAAGTATAGAGCAAACTAAATAATGGAAATAGACCTTAAAAATAAATAATAATCCACAGCTTGTTTTTGACATATAGCCCATTCACTTATGTGATAAAAGTAACTCTTCCAAGGAGGTAAAGTACCAATTAGTAACCCACTAGCAATTCCAGTGAGCAATGGTCTACAAAAGTTCTCTAAATACATAAGTAGGCACTATCAGAGTAGATATTTCCCTCTCCTATAAAAATTACATATTTTAGGCAACATTTTTAAAAAACAAGAAAAAATGAAAATCTTACAACCTAAAATTCAAATATTATAATAAAAGTTTACAATTACTTGAGTTCTCACCAATATTTTACCCCATGCAGTTTATGCTTTCACTTTTAATATGTCATTATATAAAAAGGTCATTTTTCTACTGAAAAGCTACAGTTTTATATAATTATCTATTCAACTATTTCAGTAAAACTGGAATCTAATTCCGGTGATATTGAGTTTACCTGTTCCTAAGGAAGTGACATGTAAGCATGCATTCAGTTACACTAAGTAGCTCAAAAGTATCAAAAAGACAATTTATCAGCCTGAAAAATCAACTGAGTCTGAATTTCACTGTTAAAAATTAGAAAGACTTTGTAAGGAGTGATGTTCATGCTACATGAGTATCAAAATTATATGAAAAACATATAATTTAGGAATTAACAACCCTAGTATATACCGAGGGCAACACAGTAGACCTTTGTGCTTGACAAACAGTGTTCTTTCTAGTGGTCTTGGCTCCAAAATTTTAAATAATCCCTTTCCTCCAGCATGTCATTGTTAAATACAATGGTCCTTTCTTCCATTATTAAGCATTTACTTCCCATTTCTTAGGTCATTCTCACAGAATCTGTGCTTCAAATGTTTCATGGTCTACACTGCCACGACATGCAGCATCCAGCAATAGAAAAAGCCAAATCCTGTTTTTCTTTTTTTTTTTGGTTTGAAATTCAAACTATACCTATTAACTGAAATAATACAATCATTTATCAAATGCTCTAATCTACAAAGCCACTCCGGCTTTCCATTTCTGTGATTCAAACTACTAAGTACATATTAGTTCAATATTCATTAGTAACTTAATGCTTTTTAAAAAGTTCAACATTGACTCTGTATTAAATTTGGGTATAATTACTCTTAGTGTTTCTAACATGTGCATATTCAAACATTACAGACACTGAGCACTATGAAAAGCATGAAAGGATGAAGAAATTCACGCAAAGGAGACTGACTTTTCTTTTCCTACTACAAAAGTTACCATGAATGAGATCTGGACAGAGATATATTACTAGAAATTCACTTACAACTAGGATTAGAGGAAGGAAATCATCATTACTCTGAATTTATACTGGAATGTAATCTAAACTAAATTAGATAATAATAATGATGATACAAGCTACAAATTGCACATCAGTTACCATCTGCCAAACATTGTTCTAGGCACTTATACTTATGAATTAATTTAATCTCAGCAACAATCTTATGAAACGTATTAAGCCCATTTACAAAGAGGAAACTAAAGGCTAGAGAGATTAAATGACTTGTACAGGCCGGGCGAGGTGACTGACTCCAATAATCCTAGCATAATGAGAGGCCCAGGCAGGTGGATTACTTGAGCTCAGAAGTTTGAGACCAGGATGAGCCAGAGCGAGACTCCGTCTCAAAAAAAAATAGTCAGGTGCTGTGGCAGCCTCAGGAGGTTGAGGCAAGAGGATATCGTGAGCCCAAGAGTTTGAAGTTGCCATGAGCTATGACGTCACAGCACTCTACTGAGGGTCACAAAGTTAGATTCTGTCTCAAAAATAAAAAAATAAATAATAAACAAATGACTTGTTCAGGTCACACAGACACTCAAAGACAGTCAGAATTTGAAGCCAATTAGTCTAGGTCCAGAGTCCATGTTCTCTATAACACTGTAATCTTTAGAAAGCCCGTGGACACTTGCAAATTTGTAGGTATAATGTTCTGTAAGAGATACTTAAAACTACATCAAAGGTGAATACATTAAAATAAGAACATACTGTGTACTCCTATTACAAAAGCCCCACAGAAGGAAGTTAACCATATATACCACCAGGTTATGTCTGCTATTCCTACAACATGAACTTTCCCGGTTTTTAAATTATTCAAAGAAGTGAATCAGACCCAGTATTTCTTCAAACCATGATGAGTTATATCACATAAGGGAAGAGACACAATGGTCATGAAAAGATGACTTAAAATAAAAGCAAGTGTTTAAATTTTAAATCAAAATTGTAAGATCAGACATTTAAAGACATTCAGAGATTAAATTTAAAAATATTAGAAGAACTTTGTATTCCCAGGAGAAATTCTAAAATTTTTTTTGACTACTTACCTCTCCATGATTGAAAAAGAAGCACAACACTGTAACCAGGCCTCCTAGTCGGCTGCCACTGGAAAAGAGGATAAGAAATCACAACTTAACAGAAATTCAAGTCAATTCTACCAGACCGTAAAACAATGCAACACGATAACCTCCCAGTATGATACTAAAAGGTTTCAGACATACTAGAACTCCTCTATGTTTATGTACAAAATATTTTATTTCCTCCAAAGTATCATTAATCAAAATAGTTTCATTTTTAAAAAATCATTTGCCATCCTCAAAATAGACACAGAAAAGCACACAAAGTAAAGGGAATAAAAAATCATTACTAGTCATATTACTGTGCATCAGGCAATTTGATTTTTCTTTTCCCTTTTTCCTTAGTACCATATATTTATTTATCCTTCAGCATTTCTCAGACTGTTTTCCTTGGGATACACGACATATGTCAGGGAAGGGAACTGGAGAAGTGCAGAGAACGGGTCCATGATCACAAAGTTGGAAAACACCATACTGTCTGCCTGCTCTTGGCAAATCAAGAACCACTTCAGCATATTAAAGACTCAGTTCAGCATTTCCTGAACTCTATTCCCCAAGCTACTTTTCTATAGAACGCACTCAGGGAACACTACTTTATAAATGTTTATCTTTCATTTCTTTTCAGAAAACTAGACTAGAACACCCACATCAAAGTATGACAATCAGGTTTATAACTCTAGCTAAGAAATTACAAAGATTTAGTCTGACAGTTCTAACAGCGAACCTTCATTTGCTCAGGGAAGAGTGTTCCCTACTTTCCTCCAAGTCTTGGTAGGGGCATAAGGTTATATTTAGGTCTGTTCTGCCATTTCTTTCACCCTTAGTCTTGAGGCCTTCTTACTCGTTAGCTTATGCTCCTTTCTCATTATTCTACCCAAACATCCTTCCTTCTTTCTACCCATCTACAAGTATGTTAACACAGAGAGGTCAAAGAGGAAACAAAGAACCAGACAGCATTGTAGGCCTTGTATTCACTTTGGAGGATGTTTGAATGAGAAAAAATGAAAGAAATACAAGATAAGAAATCCCGGAAGATACTGCCCTCTCCCCCTTACCTCCAGAGGTAAAAGGTAGGGCTGGGCTCCTAGCACAGGTGGCCTGTTCATCTTAGCTAATGAGGAGGAGTAAGACTGACTGACTGCATGTTTAGTGGCAAGTAGTTTGTGGACTTTCCATTTTCCTACAGAGGAGAGGCACAGTTACTTGTGGCTAGAGAGAAAAGGTGGCAACATCTAAGGCTTGAGGAAAGAGGGGGATGTCTGAAATACCATGTGCATTTCAGGAAACTGGTCACTTGGGAACATACAAGGGCTGCCGAGACATCTTAGAAGATAACTGAGATCGCAGACCACAATTTACAGAGTCACGAATTGTAGGACTTCATGATTTTTCTCCACCAGTTATCAGCCTGGATGGGCATAAAGTATTTTGATATAATTACAATTATACAAATTGTATTTTGACATAATTTATGGTGTATTCTGCCAGAAAGAATTTTTTTTTTAATTTTATGTAGCCAAGTACGTGGGTATTTTCCTTGACTACTTCTGCACCTTCTGTCTTGTCTCTGAGGGTCTTCCACACCTCAAAATTACAGTCTCCTAAAATTTCTTCTAGTATCATTTATTGCATTTTTCACTTAGATCTTTCATCTGTAGAACCTTAATTTTGTGTTTTTGAAATAGCCAATTATGCCAATATTGTTTATTAAATAAACATTCTGTTTACCACTGAAGTGGAGCAAAATTCAGCATTTATCCTATCTATAATTTCTTACAATGCTAGAATCCATTCTATTCCATTCCACTGATTTAGTTCTGTATTTTTTGGTATCACATTATTTTTATTACCGTAGCATTATGGTCACCTTACTACATGAGAAGGAGAGCTTCCTACCCGCAACTACTTTTCTCGCATTATACTTAAGCTTCATTTTAATTAATTCCCTTCTCCTCTGAAGAAAAAAAACTGGATTTTAGATCAGAATGACAACAAATTTACAAATAATCTGGGAAGGACTGTCATTTATATGATTTTAATTGAACCTATTCAGTTGCACAGTATGACTCTATTTATTCAATACCAATTGTATTTCTTTAAATAAAAATTTTATAGCCAAGCAATGTAACAATCAGTATTTAAAGTTAAAACTTCTACAAATACAAAGAGAACATTATAAAATCTGATCCTAATGGAGTATTTCAGATTTCGACAGGTCAAATAAGCTAAGGATTTGAAGGAGATAATCAACAAGGATTTGAAGGAGAAAATCAACAAGCTCGATTTAGTGAGTATATTTAGTATTTTGATTATATAGAAATTATACATTATTTTCTCATGTCCCTGAGCACCTAGCTACAAGGTGCTCACTCTCTGATTACTGCCCTAAACCACCTAGAACACAAGAAAGATGGGGGAGGAAATGCTCTTTGGGAATTTAATTTAAAATTCCCTTTTAAAAATCCCCTGGAACAAAGAGGAATTAAAACTGAAATTTAATAACTTTAATTTTCTAAATGGCAGAGTAAATGTAGAGAAAGGACAAAAGAGCCACAAATACAATTTCCTGACCAAATCTCAGGATGAAATTTGCTTAAGAATGGAGAATCTTATAACCTCACTCAAAATGCCATACAATGTGGGGGGTTCTGAGGTTGGACATTTTCCTGGAAGCAGAACCATTACGATAATACCCCCTTTTCACCAAACTACCAAAACACAGATTATGGCCCAGCATCTTCTGCAAACATAATCAGCTTTTCTCAACTAACCAGGAAGGCAGATTTTCTGATGCACTTTTGTCCACTGCAAAACTAGAAAGGCAGAATAAAATGTCCTTATCTGCAAGGAATAGTCTGAGTTACAATAACTATGAAGTGACATGACTTGAAATAAATACAGTATCCCCAATATTTGCCTTCTTTTTACCCCAACCCATAGAGACCATCACACAAATCCTTTTATTTTGCTAAGCAGAAAAGATATAGTAATCAGAATACTTAAAATTGTTCTAATTTTTTTTCTCTATTATAGTTGATCAGGCACTGTTTTCAGCATTCCCCAGTGGTTAAAAAAAGATCTCTTCTGCAAAAATTCCACCAACATTCAGAAAATATGAAAAGTCCAATTGTACAAATTTTAAAACACTACATAACTCAACATTTTCCACATTTACTCACACATACCATTTACCTTTTGAATGTTAACCTCCTTAAATATAAAATGAGAGGATATTAAAAAGGAAAATTGAAAATATCTTCAAATACTTCCCAGTGTATGGATTAAAATCAATCATCAAATTCTGATAGGCTTCATTGATCACTGAAATTTTTATCACTATTTGCAAAAAAAGATGAAATGTGCCAGATTTAACTTTGAAAAAGGAACAGGTCTTTTCTTCTTTTTAAAGAGGAAAAAGGCAATGGGTTAATTCAAAACAATATTACATCATTCTTAAAGTTTTCTTATTGTTATGTAAACCCCTAAGAAGGAGAAATTGAGAGAATAACTTGAAAAGAACTGAATCAAGAGGATTTCCAATCTCAAATGTGAGCTATAAGGCGTCGGCACTTGAAGAAATGAAGTCTAGCCCAATGAAAAAATGCCATGCAGCCTGGCTTAGAGCTAATACCCCTCCCCTATACTTATGGCTGGGACTTACTGGCCCTAAGGAAAGAGACAGTGAAGATTAGAAGAGAGTGAGAATCAGGAAAGGTAAGAAAAGTTTTCAGTTTGGTCCTCTCCAGTCTGTTACAAGCAACTAATTAATGCCTTTAACTCTGTCTGCCAGCACTAAGAAATAGCATCTTTAGAATGTGAACTTCCCAATTTACCGTGCTAGCTGCCAAGGCACCTAGCACTGGCTTGCCCAAGGCAGAGATATGAAAGATATCTGAGGGGTAAATGAAAACATAAATATTATTCAATCCAAAGACAAGTGGCATTCCTTTTTTGTAAGCCTGCAGCTTACCACACCACACCTCAAATCACTGTTGCCCAGATTTAAGCTTCCACTTGCCATCAGGGCCATGTGCTCTGTCGAGTCTCTGCTCTGACAGATCCACCACACTACTCGACTCCCATCATACCTTTCCACTATGCCCCCAGAACCTTCCTTCCGTGATGAATAACTACCCAACACCAGCAGCCTCTTCCCAGATGCTCCCTTCGCCTCCTGCCTGGGAATACCACTCCCTTCTGAGAAAATGCTTCCCCTAGCCTCTGTCCCAACTCTGGCTTCTGAGATCCTGAATTCTGTCCACTTCTCTCCATTCCTCCACTTTCACCACACCAGTGCAGGCTACTTTCCTCACCCAGACAGACACCGTCAACAGCCTCCTGGGCCCCAGGCCTGCTCCCTCTACATGGCAGCTCGGCCATCTTTAACAAGTGCATGCAGCTAAGGAGTCTATCCATTTAGTCTTGTCAATGAAGTATTTAAAACTTTTCCCAAAAGCTTTAAAATATTTATGTATTATACAGCCTATGAGTATTTTTTTTCTTTTTTTTTTAAGGTAGATTTTATTTAAGAAGAACAAAGAGAAACATTACAGCACTTCCAAAGAGAAGTGGGTCCCTCTCATGAAGGAGTAAAGGTGAGAGAGACCTGTATTTTCTTTTCTTGAAAATAAAACTACACACAAAAATGCTGCACACAATTCAAATTTTTCTGTCAACCATTCTGTATGTGCTATAAATTTTCACTTCTGTTATATCACTGAATTTCCCTTTCTAGATTATAATTTCTTTGTGATTGTGTGTGTATTGAAAAGAGGTGGACCAAAAAAAAGAACGAATCCTATCCTGGCACTCCTGCCTTTTGCACAGATAGCCCTTTACTTTTGTCCATTGCTCTAAGGGCCAAATCCAAACAATGAAACATGACCAAAATGAGGCTCTGGCCCCCTATATACCTCCAGACTCCCTTCCTTATTCTTCCTCCTACCCAAACTGTGCTGCAACTGCACTGTCTTTGTCACAGTTCCTCAAATGAAGAGACCACAAGGACTGCTGTGTACAGAAGAGCCT